CCCATACGGAGTAGAGTAGGTCAAATAGAACTGGGTGATGCATCGAAGCAAACCGAGGGCAGGAGATGCACGCTGCTCACGTGGGAAGGCCACGCTCGAAAAGAGAAACCAGTGGTCTTTACCAGGGCTAAATAACTGCTACCACATTTCTTTGGAAAAACAAAACACTGACTTGCACGCCTATTGATCCTGACAAGCAACTGACTAGGCCACATCGTTTGCAAAAATCTCCCACGTTTATGAATGGAAGCACCGTTCATGGCGTATCCCAGAAGGACTGACTCACTCTCAAGGCTTCATTCTTGTCACATATTTGTACCTAACCTCTATACTCTGTTAGCTTTCACTGTCCATGTGTTTAGAGAGAGACCTCAGAGTTTGAAAGCTTTATTCTTTATGCTTCCTTATAATGACATCTCATATCACATATACTGCGGTCCATGTCTGAGAAGAGCAAGAGGCGTGGCTGCGAAGACGGCCGTTGAAACGAAAGCGAGGAAGAGGCGTAGAGACAGTCGCTTTCGCTACAGGCGTTGGAGTAATTGGAGGGGATTGGGGTTGACCAGCCCATTCTCCACGTATTGTTGAAGCGAGCGAGCATCAACAGTTGGTGGGAAGCAGGCTGGCACAGTGCCAAACCGAGGCATCTGACACGCCCCAGCGTCTGCAGCGAATCCGTCTAAGAAAATCGGCACGGGAATACGTAGCCACGTCTCTTTGCCCTCCGCTCTGTGAATGATATGTATACCAAAACTGACAATATACTTACACTACTTGCTTTGATAGATGATACAAAGTATTTATACATATAAATTAATAGAACATCTGAATCGTAGGCAAACATACCGAAGACTTCGAAAGAGATGAGAAAAATTCAACAGTTTTCTTCGCTGAGGATGGGACGTGCCACGGATTTTCCTTTGGCTCCGGGCCAGCCTGTTCTCCACTAATTGTTAAATGGGCAAGCAACAATAATTGGCGCAAAAATGCTGGAGCCGTGCCAAACCCAGCCACCCTGACACGTCCAGCATCCGCAGCGAGCAAGACTGTATACTACCAGTCACGGTCACAACGAACCACTACAGGTGTCTGGCTCCCTCATTTCAAGGCACATAAGAAGGGGTCTCTAGGCGGAGAAACGGTCAGTAAACGAGGGATGCACTAAGCCCATTCCCTGGGTGCCCCCCCCCCCGAACCGCCAATCCCAAAACGGTGTCTTTGTTCGATTCCGACCAAACCTGGGCATGTGTTAGCCAAGAGGGGGCGTGAACAAAGTTGTTTGAAGGCCTATTTTCATAGCGACAAGTGATAATTATAAGTGATCCCGTTAAAGGCATGAAAACAAAAGTTAGAGCTCAACGTCTGTTGCAAATAATTAGTGTGCTGATGGCAGAACTTAACTGTACAGAACCATGTGCTATGATAGTTGGAGGGGGTGATCGACCCTGAGCCGCGCACCACTTCTGCTTGTTTGATCTCTCTATGGCTGAGGAAGCGCTTTTAGGCGAAGACCAATAGAACGCAGCCGAGCAAAAATGTGCAATCACCCTGTTGTTCCCCCCTGCCTCCAAATCTACTGTATAATACAATGTTAACCATAAATGTAAACTGGAATGGTAAGTCAGCGTTTTAAGTAACGACTGCATGGCGCAGTCTACCGGCAGATCTGACGCCATCGATGTTTTTGTGCAATATTGCGTATCAAGCCCGGATGTCTTCAATTTTCATTTCGGCAGATCGCTGTCGTCGCATGTGCAGAAAAGCACCGACAAATAATGCTATCACCAGGAATGCCGTTGTTGCCATGAAGAAAAATGTTAGAGCTAAACAAAGAAAATTTGGTCCCGGGAAATTACGGTAATTTTCAGAAGGTGAAGAAGTGAAGGTTAAATTACGATCAATTCAATCCTCTCATAAGAGTGTTCCCTTCTGCCTGGAAAACAGAACGATCCTTTTTTCGATGCTTAAGTAGTTGGGTGGGCGCTATCGGAGAGGTTAATTTCGCAGGTTCCCCATTCTTTGCTCGTCTGTCTCTGCCAGCATCACTTAAACTCACCGAACACTATCTCGTCTAGAGGCTTTAGAAGAGCAGAGAATGGGCGTGGCCGACAACCCCTACTACTTTAGCGCCCTTGTTTCGAAGAGCAATTTTAAACACTCAAACCTTACCTCACAGAGATTTTCTGGCGAATCAGTTCCGTATTCATCCAGAGCTTTGCCCATCACGTCCGGCGGACACCCTTTCACTTCTCCACAGCTCACAGTGTAACTTATCAATTCTTTGAACTCATCATTGCTACTCCCTTGACGATAGTAGATCTGACATTGGGAAAATCGACTTGAGACCAGTGCATTTTAGGTTGTGGGTCAGTAGGTCCACTTTGCGGCGCCGCGTGACTGCGATACGTCGCGCCTATAGCACATAACACGCATGCGCGACGGCGCTTTCACCACGTCGCCACGATGTGGATCTCCTGGCCGATACCATCACCTTAGCGGTATTCTATTGGATTTATGGTTTTCCTATCAAAATGACCGTTGTGGTTATTGGAATGCCCCCCCAGAGCCCTAAATTAGAAGGTCAAACAAAGAAGCACCTTGACGTAATGGCCCCAGTCACTCTTCCATAGCTCGAAAGCAATGGTTGCTGTAAAGTCCGGTCGTCCTTGTGGATCAAGTCCTTCCTTCAGTAGTCCCAGAGAGTCTAGCAATGCAGATATCGTGGCATCATGCTGGAAATGCGGTCTACATAGGATTCAGTGGAGAAAAGATATGACTAGAAGATTTCATGATGAAGACCTCAACAAACGGATCATAAGAAATGCCCCCCCCCCGTCAAAAAAATATGAGATCTAGGCACTTGTTGGAATTTCTATGTCCATGACTCTTCTATCATGAGTACCCAGTTTTTCCTACATGAGGGTAAATTAGCTTTGCTTAATTTTGAACAGAACAGGAATCAATGCATTTCTTCTCTTACTTTTGTGAGTACACTCCATATCCCGGAGATGAAGAGGGCGTGACTGCGTACTTCATTTCAACGTGCGTTTTTCGAGGAATGTGTCCTTTTGAAAAATTAACATCCTGTTTTGTGCAAAGGCTGATTCTCAGGCTAAATACTATTGCCGGAAAACTTCGGCAAAACACGACATCAACGGCTCCCTGTCTCAAAACTTCTTCCTGTGGTACGATCCTCCCTTCCTTATGCTACCTACCATTGCCAACGTCCTACCACTCTTTCCAAACTTTCTCAGTGTTTCCTGCATTGCCGCTGAGCGAGCGAGGGGGCACATGTGAAACGTGAATGTATGTGAATGAATGTACATGTGAAACGGAAAATATCGCGAAAAATCAACGACCGTAAAGTCAATGGTCAAATACGACCCCTTGCGAGTGATTCACTAGCGTACCCACAAGAACAGCCGCTGCCATCGAAGTACGCGGCCACGCCCTCCACATCTCCGGGATGTGGAATGCACACTGGCTTTGTTCAGTTTGATGATAGCACGAGATTCCGCGATTGTACGTCATGGGTGGTAAGACTCAACTATGAAACTGTAAGCACCTTTCGAGGGTATCAGTGAGGGAGAATGCACAAAAACCCGTTAAAGTACCACAATAAAGGCTAGGATGGTTACAAGCACTAATCGGATGATAAGACGCCAGACTTCTGACTCAGTGTGGGTGCCCAGACCTTTTTATAGCTGCAGGTGACACATGGAGAATGACTTCCTCACCCGTCTATGTACTCCCTCACGTCTTCCAGT